TTGGGGGCGATATGCTGACTCTCTAAACCGCTTAGAGAGGGCTGGAAGCCCTATGAAGCGGTATATAAGTCGAACTGCTATTGCTAAAGAGGGGAGTTTGGGGAGTTTCTTGAACTACAGAAATGTAGGAGGCCCTCCTTCATCCCACCTAAGCCAGGTTGGGTCCACCAGAACCAGCATCCCTCCCTTTCCCTGTGCCGTAATTTGGAGAAGCCGGCCGTGACTCGCCCATCAGAGCCCCTTGGGGGGGGGGGAGGAGGACTGCAACCCTGTGACTTTGCCGGCTGCTGAGAAGGGAGCCGGTGGCCTGGCAGGCGCCGGGTTGCAAAGCTATGGAAGAGCAGGTCCCCTCCGCTGCATTTGCTGCAACTACGGCCTTTGCCTTCATCCCTCCAGTTGCTTGATCCCGGCTTAGGCTGGCGGTGATGCCCAAGATACCACCTTTCCCTTCCTCCCCTTTTTATCTAGGAGAACAAAGTTCCTTTTCCATAATTGGCGTTGTTAAATAACAAACTAGCAGCCAATAAAGCAAATGCCATGTTTACTTCCTTGGTGCCACTTTTATCTGCCCGCCAACAAAAGGTTTTATGAAGCTGAGAAGGGAGCTTAGTGGCCGCCCGTCTTCCTTGGCATCGTGAAGGGCCAAGGTAACCCAGCGGGGCATCTTGGGCAGAGCCCAGCAGAAGGCCTACCTTCACAGACCAGAAGTCAAAGGAGAGGAGGAGGAGGATGAGGAGGAAGCAGGCAATGAAGCTTTTGCTGAACCAGTCGCAGAAGAGGTAGGTCACGATGGCACTCACGCGGAAGAAGAGGTGGAAGAAGGTGGCCAGCGGGTACCTAGGAAGGAAGCATCCAGAAGTCTGGAAGCTGCCACAGTGGGAGAGCCCTGCTTTAAGGATTCGGGTGACGGGGGATTCCTTTGCTGCTCTGGGGCTCCCGGGCGGAGGGCGAAGGCTGGACGGGTCTGGCTGGGCGCTGGCACACTGACTTCCCGGTGGAGCTGCCTCGGCTGCCAGAGGGAGCCAGCCCCGCAGGGTGTGTTTCCATTGTGAGAAGGAGAAGAAAGGTGAACTGCAAGGAGGCCTGGCACATTGTGAGATGAGATCTAATATTTACCCGCCTGGCAACAGTAGGCACGAGGGAGAAGCAGGGAGAAAGGTTTTATTTGCACCTGTGAATCTCAGTGAAGAAGCTGGGCCCAAACCGCAAAGGTCACCATATTTAATCCAGTATTTTTTTTTAATTTTTTATTTTATCAATTTCATATATACATTCACAATTATATGATCTCATAACTGTTATTAATAATATGTATTTATAACAATTTTTTCCCTACAGTTGACAATATACTTGAAAATTGCTTTCTTACCATCCCATAGATAGATCCATCTTATCTTACAACGGTCCTACTTCTTCTTCCCTCCCTCCCTC